ATTTTTGGATAATCCAGGTCTGCAAAAAAAAGTTGCAAAAATCATACAAAGACTTGCCATATGCCCCACCCCCAACATCCCCAGGCATAACCAGAGGCTGCTGTCAGCCCATCTGAGGACCTCATTCCAGTAGTGTCCTTTCTCCTGGGCCAGGTGTGGCCCATGTCACCGCGTTAGGGTCTCTCATAATATTATTATTATTATTATTTATTTTAAATATATCTTTATTGATTTCAGAGAGAGGAAGAGAGAAGGAGAGGGAGATAGAAACATCAATGAGAGAGAAACATCAATCGGTTGCCTCCAGCATGCCCCCTACTAGAGATCAAGCCCGCAACCCCGGCATTTTCCCCCAACTGGAATCAAACTGTGATCTCCTGGTTCATAGGTCAACGCTCCACCACTGAGCTACACAGGCCAGGTTGGTCTCATGATCTTGATACTTACAGAGAACTGACTTTTTCAAGGCAGACTGTCGTGTGGTTTTCTGTGATGTTTCCTGCCACTGAACAGTTACTGTTTCTCCTTTGTAACTACTAAGTGTGTAGTGGGGAGATACTTTGAGAGTTTGTAAACATTTTGTTTCTCCTCTTGCTTTTGCCCACTGATCTTAGCCACTGGTGGTGGCTCTTGTGGGAACAGGCACTGCTGTGGATGTTTCTGTCCTTGTCTCTGGATTGTGCTTTAATGAAGGGCTTGCTCACTTATCCTCCACATAATGTGTGTCTGTGGTCCTTGTGGACATTTGCTCCAGTTACGACTCCACTGTCCTTGTTTTGTTGCTAAGGGTGCCCTTTCAAGGGGACCTGTCCTGTGAAATGTTTGCCGTGTGTGTGCATCCGGGGACGCAGGGTAACCTGTGTCAGGGCCTCTTCCTGTCAGGAGAAGTCAGGGCATAGCTTAGAGGTTTCTTGTTGGGACTCCACCTGGAAGCACGAGTACTGGGGGTGTAGGAATCAGTTGAGTGTGTCCATCTGTTCTTGGTAACTGCAGAGGGACATGCTGATGACACAGGGCCAACCCTGCATTTATTCAGTCTCTGTGACTAGAGTCCTGGAGATTAGGCTTTTTGTGTAAAATCCCACAGCAATCCATGAAGTGTGTGTAAGCAAAGTGTGTCTGTGTCTCTGACCAAGTTACCTGAGTGGTCCTCAAGAACATGCCGATTTCCCTCGGTGCCTCTCTCCATCTCTCCACGTGCACGTGTGATCTGGGAGGTTCCTGACTCTGATACTATTATGGAAAGCCCCCTGGAACCCACCTGCGTAGCCTCCTACGGCTCCATGGTCACTGTTCGCCACACGAGTGTGTCTGGGTTTGGGCGGCTGCAGAGCAGGGTGGTCGTGGCTCCCAGGCTTCGCTCCTCCTCAGGGTCCTCCGTCGCAGCCACACCGCATTGAGGGCAGGGGGTGGTGCCTTGTCCCTGTGGCCAGCGGCATCACGGGCCCCTTGGTCAGTGTTCGCACTCCCCAGGGTCTCGGCCCAGGGAGGGCCCAGGTGGCTGACATCAAGACTGTGAGCAGCAGTGAGCCTCACCTTTCCGCATTCCCTCACAACTCACGGTCCCGGCAGCGTTTGCTGTAGTCCTGTCGTCACCCCTCCCCCCGAAACCGCCGCAGCAGTGTCGCTCCCTCGAGGGACCGCGTCCCCCACCGCTGGCAGCCTCTCAGAAGGGCCCTGAGGCCAGAGTTTGTGAGCAGAAGTTTGATGTAAGGGGGGGGTTCAGAGTGGCGAGGGTGGGGCCCGACAGGACGGGGTGGGTCTGTCGGGATTGGTAGAAACTCCTCGGGGCTGCGACTCTGAGGTTCACTCGGAGTCCAGGTGTAGACTGGGATGAGTCACATCTGTGGGTGTGTCGAGCCCTGGGGATGAGAGCCAGGCCGTGGCCTGGTCTCCGGTCTGCGTCTGGTGAGGAATGGTGCTCGGTCCTCAGCAAGGACCGTCGGTTTCTGTGTCATCGTGACTGGCCCTGCCCAGCGAGGCAGTCCCTGGGCTTAGCTTCCGACAGGCCAGGTGCTGGACATCCCCTCTGAGCCATTTATACTGGAGTTTGGAGCAGGGTTTTCTCTGGTTTCATTATTGCCCAATTCAGAAGTCTTCTGGGAATTGAGATGGTTTTCCAGTTTAGGATGAAGAGTAGAAAATTGAATTAAGAGACTAAGGGTTCAGCATTCTTCAGCAGTTATATTTATGGAACAGGTGACCTACTTTTTGTTTTAAAATGTATATCTCACATTCATATACTTGTAAAAAATTGGAATGCCTCTTTCACTTGTTAAAATAATTAACATGACTTAAGAAAAAGTCTCACTCTAACAAAGTTCCATTTTTAGTGAATTAGAAGAGTTTATAGTAAATACCATTGTGTTTATGTTGGCTGATCCAGATTGTGGAAGGTAGTCCCAAAGTTTGCATCAACACCAGCAAGCACTCAGGCGTGTTGTGAGGGATTCCAGGTACCTTTTCTTGTTTATTTTAGGTATAGAATTATCTAGCATTTTTAACTGTGCTACAACTTAATTTTAAAATGTTAAAAGGAAGTTTCACAGTGTAGTTGTCCTAAGAATCTTGTGTTAACTGAGCCTTCCCAATAGTGGGGTGGAGTCCCCTGGTGGAGCTGGGCCGGCACAGCCGTGACACAGCTAGCCCTCCACTGGACTTCCTCTCTGTATATGGACAAGCTCCAGGTACGACCGTCAGAAGAGACTGTACAGGAAACCGAGGTTGACTGCAAAGGGCATAGTAACTCCAAAAAGTAGAGATTAAAGAATTAGGAGGTCTAGATGATGACTGTTCTCAGACCTCGTGGAGGGAGGAGCTGTGAGGACCAGAGACAGTTGACTGTAGTGATAAACCTAACATCTTGAAGGAAGTATGAAGACAATTTATAATCCAGGAGAAGGCATTTGTAAACTGTAAAACCAACGAAGAGTCCTTACTAGCAATGCACAGAAGCTCTACAAACGGGAATGTGAGCAGAGGTGACGGCAGGGATTACATAGAGACATGGTGCCATGCCAGTCAGCGCTGCTGTGTAGGGACTGTGGACAGGGCTACCCAGGGACTGTGGACAGGGTGAAGCTGGGACTGTGGGTAGGATCACACTAGGGTGCTGTTCTGTGGGTGCTCAATTGGCAAATTTAGAAAGTCTGACGGTGCTGAGCATGACCCACTATGCTGCTGGGTGGGAGTGGGTTTCACACCGCTGTTCCAGCAGGTGTGGACGCCACGTTTGGCTGCTGGGTCTTCTAAGGCTCTTTAGAACGGGGGTGGGGAATGGCCGGCCCTGCCGAGGCCTCACCAAGGAGAAGCAGTTCCAGCCATCCCATTAGGGGTGAGTTCATTAAATGTTTGACCAAATATAGCAGGCTGATTTTGAAGTTGACAGTTCTGTATGGCCTGTGAATGATGTAAATCTCCAAATGGCCCTGGGCAGGAAAAAGGTTCTCACCCCTGTAGAACAAGATCTCTTCCCTCTTTTATTATGGGCCATTTATTTGTAAAGAAACCTGGAGGTTCATTTGGAGTTCCCCAAAGTCTGCACTTGGCTGGTGGCGTGTCAGTGGTTTTGGGGAGCATGGGCTCTGCCCTTCTGCCCCTGCGGATGGTGGGTAGATGGGTGGGGCAGGTGTGCGGCCCCTTGGGTGGCATCTGTCCAGACTTGGGCTCCATGG